CGGGCGGCAGAGCGACAGGGTAGGACAGGGCGCGTGCGAGAAGGGGCCCGTGCGTGGGCGGTTTGCGCCCAACGCAGGGAGCGGGAAGGGCGTAGTGGGAAGGGAAGGGAAGCGAAGGGACGGAAAGCCTATCACAGGAAGGGAAGAATGCTGCGGAGCCTGGCCCGGAAGTGCCGGAAGGGCGGAGGATGAGGGGAAGGAAGGGAAGGGAAGGACAGCACGGATAGCCGGGGGTGGAAGGACGGAGGGGAGGATAGCCGGGGATGCGAGGACGGAGAGCAAATGGCAAGGATAGCCGGGGCGGGAGGGAGGAATGGGGGGGATAGCCCGGGGTGGAAGGACGTGGGGAGGATAGCCGACAACGGAATGGAGTAGGAATAGGAATGGGCGGAGGAGGGACATGATGGGAGCGGCGAGGCTATCCGACGCGTAAAGCGCATCTCGGATAACCGGGCGCGCTCCGCCCCATCGCCGGGGCAGCGGTGCGGAGGGCACGTAAGCAATGGAAAACGAATGCATGGAATGCAGGGAACACGAAAGAAAGGAAATATATGCGGAGCGAAAACGGAAACGAAAAACAATCGAATCGAACGAAAGGAATGGAAGAAAAAACGCACGCAGTTCCCGATGATCGTCGCGATCGTCGCGTCGTGCGCCGAGATGCCCTTGCTCTTCTGGAGGTAGGTCGGGTACAGGTCCTGCGAGCCGTGCGAGAGGAAGTTGAAGCCTGGGGAGGGGGGGTTAGCGGGTGTAGGAGGGGAGCGAGTGTTGAGAGGGGAAGAGAGGGGAAGGGTAAGAGTGTAAGAGAGGGGGGGGTGAGGAGGAAGAGGGGAGCGCGCTCGAGCGCGTTGTCGAGCGGCGCGCATGTCAGCTGTGGGGCCGCCAGGTCGAGCGCAGCCACGTCGACCAACCACTGCGCCCGCCTCACACCAGCCGTCCAGCGGCGCGCATGCCGGCCGTCGAGCCGCGGTACGCTTTCGAGGCCCGCCGTCCGCCAGGTCGAGCGCAGCCCCCGCGCCCGTCCAGCGGCGAGCGAGCCACTTCAGCCGTCGAATCTCGCAATCAGCCGGAGCGCAGACGGCCGTCGAGCACGTCCGCCCGCGCGCGCACACGCCTCGCACACCAGCCGTCGAGCGAGCGCAGCTGCGCCCGCCCCCGCCCAGAACACCCCGAGCACCCGCGCAGATAACAACACAAGAAGAAAGAACGCACCCGTCATAAGGAGCACCGCATACACGCACAGCAGCCAGTGCGTCTTGAGCATCGCCTTGGTCTCGCGCAGGAAGACGCGCGTCTTCTGCGCCTCGGAGACGACGCCGTGCGAGGTCGCGGCGGCTTGCGCCTTCAGGAACACCGCGCTCTCGGGCAGCAGCGCGCGCAGCGTGGCGCCGAACACGCTGATGCCCGCGGCGGTCCAGAAGAGCGAGCGCCAGCCCACGGCGACGGTCGGCACGAGCTCGAGGGAGATTACGGCTGCGAGCTGGGGGTGGGGTGGAAGGGTTAGCGGGCCGAAGGAAAAGGGGGAAGGGGGGAGAGGAAGAGGGGGTAAGGGGCCTGCGGCGCGGGGGAAGGGGCGAATCGGGAGAGCAGGCAAGTAGAGAGAACCGGGCGAAGACGGATAGGAGAGAAGACGCCAAAAAACGCACCAAGTACCCCACCGCGTACCCCTGCTGCAGCACGCCGCTCGCGATCCCCCGCAGCCCCACCGGCAGGTTCTCCAGCGCCGTCGACGCGGCGAGCCCCCAGATCCCGCCCATGCCGATGCCTGCGAGCGTGGGTTAGCATGGAGTACTCGTGTGAAGATATAAGAGAGGGTAAAGAGGGAAGGAGGAGGTGTGGAATGCCTGCGGCGCTCTCGGTGGAGGCAAAGGTAGGAAGGGACTGCCTGCGGCGCGGTCGACCACGTAACGGTGGTCTCCTGTGCCTGCGGCGCTCTTGATAGAAGGCCAAAAATGCCTGCGGCGCAGGCAGCTCTGCCGTCTAACGACGGCCTCGGAGGGAGGCAGGAAGGGACTGCCTGCGGTCGACCACCTGACGGTGGCCTCCTGTGCCTGTGGCGCTCTCCGCCTAACGACGGCCTCGTATGCCCGCGGCGCTCCCGCCTCACGTCGTTCTCGAAAGCATCCAAAACTTACCAAACAAACTCCTAAGAGCCAAAAACTGCTGAAACGTCTGCACAAAGCCCGCGCCGAGCTCGAGGATGGCGACGAGCACGAGGTTGAAGACGAGGGGCCACTTGCGGCCGAAGCGGTCGGAGAAGACGCCGAAGAGGACGGCGCCGACGGAGCGGAAGAGGAGCGTGAGGGTGATTGCTTGCGTCTGGCGCCGTGTTAATTTAATTCAATGTAATGTAATAGATAGGGAGGGGGGACGCACGATGGACGTGATGGGCTTGTGGAACTGCGTGGAGAGGGCGGGCGCGCTGAGGGAGACGCTGAAAAAGTCGATCGCGTCGCACGTCCACGCGAGCCAGCCGACCCAGAAGAAGGCCCACTGCAGCAGCGTGACGGTGCGCAGCTGCGTCCACAGCGACTCCTCGCGCACGGCGGGGCGCGGCGGCAGTCGGAGCGGGGCGAAGAAGATGGTCATCCTGGGTGGTCTTGCTTTACTTGGCTACTTGCGAGCGCGCTTTACTTGTTTGGTAAAGCGAAGACGAAGAGGCAGCAGGCAGCTCCGAACCGCGCCATCTGTCGCCCTCTTATAGAGCCGATACGCGAGAACCGGTCAGCTGTAGATCCCATCACCCGCCTATTATTACCGGCTCCAAATGTGTCGTGCAAGTCCCGCGTTTCGAGGGTACGGTGTGGAGGGGGTAGACAGAAAGGAGTAGGAGACTAGGAGGATGACGCGGGTAACGCGAAGAACGCGCGGGGCGGGGCTCTAAAATCCAGATCCAAATCCAAATCCATATCAAATCAGTGAGATCAATTTCATTTTTGACGCGTTGATGCCAAGCGGGCGGACCTTCTTCTCTTCCATCGCGGTCTGCGTCTACTTACTTGCATACATCCCATCCCATCGCGGCGTCTACGTCGACGTCTGCATCCCATCGCATCGACTAATCATCTCGGCGAGACGCCAGCTCCGCAGGAATACGTATCTCGCGCTCCGTGGAAATGAACTCGGCATCCCGAGCCCGGCACCCATAATGATAAAGTAATCCCATCCAACTCGAGATCTCCCACCAGCTCCCACCGCGCGACCCGAAACGGGAGCGACGCGCACACCGGCCAGGCACCGCGTAGCGCTTGGCGTCCGCGCGCAGCTCGGAGTCCCACCGACTCCCGGGGGCTGCCGCGTCTCCGCGCGAGGGCGGGCGTCTGTGAATCAACGAGCGACTGCGCGTCTGTGGATCACCGACCCCAGCATACCCCGCCCGCCCCGCACTCCCCGCGCTGTCATTAATGATTCATCTCCCGCTGTCAGTGTCAATGCCGGAATTTCAATTTTCAATCAGGCAACGTCCGTCCCGTCACGGTCTACTGCGTCGGCGTCTGCCAGCGTCCGCGTCGATCAGGCAGCGTCTGCGTCCGTGTCTACGTCCGCGTCGGCGTCTGTGTCGGCGTCAATCTGCGTCGGCGTCAATCTGCAGCGTGCGTCGGCGGCGTCAAGTATAAGAGCGAGATCCCGTAACTGCGGCGCCCCACCATCCGGCTATCGCGCGCCAACGATCCTCCGCCTCCCTTCCGCGCTAAAAAACAAAAACAAAACGCATCGCCAGAGATCGTGCACATCGCACGCGGCGATCCGCCCTAGCCTGAGGCTGAGCAGCGAATCAGCCGGCGTGCTCGGCGCGCGGATCGTGCGCCAAGTATCGGCGTCGCGGATCGCTGATTTTACTTCGACACTTGTATTACAGGACAAGTGGGAGTGCGGGTCTTCCTTATCCTGTTTCGAGCTCGGATTTGTGCGAGATTTTCTGGCCATTTGAATGCAAAAAAGAAACAGAACACAAGCAGCACGTACTTATGACCCGGCCCCGGATCGAACGGGGGCCCACAATCCAAGAAAACCACCTTATTTTGTGTGGGTGCGCCGGCGCTATCGGGTCTTGTTTCCTCTGTTTCGAGCTCGGATTTGTGCGAGATTTTCTGGCCATTTGAAACAAAAAAGGGAGGTGATAAGTAATGACCCGACCCCGGATCGAACGGGGGCCCACCAAATTCTCCTTTGCTTTGACGACTGCAAGTGGGGGCGCACCAGCGCTATCGGGTCTTAATTCCCTGTGTTTCGAGCTCGGATTTATGCAGGACTTTTCGGCTCCTGGTTGAAAGCAAAAGCAAAAGAAAAACACGCACAGACGATAGCATGACCCGGCCCCGGATCGAACGGGGGGCCCACAAACCCAGAAAAGCCCTCTTATTTGGTGTGGGGTGCGCCGGCGCTATCGGTCTTCCTTACGTATACACTATTTCGAGCTCGAGTTCATGCGAGGTTTTCTGGCTCTTTGAAAGCAAAAGAAAAAGAAGCACACTGGCAGAGCATGACCCGACCCCGGATCGAACGGGGGCCCACAAATCCTTTGCAAAGGGGTTGATTGTGAGTGGGTGCGCCGGCGCTATCGGGTCTTATTTCCTCTGCTTGGGACTCGAGTTCATGCGAGGTTTTCTGGCCATTTGAAAGCAAAAAAAAGGGAGGTAGATGCGGGTCAATGACCCGACCCCGGATCGAACGGGGCCCACAAATTCTCTCGAAGGGGAGTTGCTGATTGTGAGTGGGTGCGCACCAGCGCTATCGGGTCTTATTCTCTCTGTTTCGAGCTCGAATTTATGCAGGACTTTTCGGCTCCTGGTTGGAAGCAAAAGCAAAAGAAAAACACGCACAGAGAATAGCATGACCCGACCCCGGATCGAACGGAGGCCCAGACATGACTTCTCCAATTTAATTTGGGTGGGTGCGCACCAGCGCTATCGGGTCTTATTCTCTCTGTTTCGAGCTCGGATTTGTGCGAGATTTTTCGGCTCCTGGTTTAAAAACAGAAGAAATACATGCACAGAATATGACCCGACCCCGGATCGAACAGGGCCCCACAAATTATCGAGTGTATTTCTTGAATCGAAAGCGGGCGCGCACCAGCGCTATCGGGTCTTTCTTACTCTGTTTCGAGCTCGGATTTACGCAGGACTTTGCAGGCTGTACTTCAAGTTTGACAGAAAAAGCAAATGAGGCGAACGAAGAATGACCCGACCCCGGATCGAACGGGCCCACAAATTCACTGCGAAGGGGAGTTGTTGATTGTGAGTGGGTGCGCACCAGCGCTATCGGTCTTATTCCCTCTGTTTCGAGCTCGAGTTCATGCGAGGTTTTCTGGCCATTTGAAAGCAAAAAAGAAAAAGAACATAAGCAGAGACACGTAGTATGACCCGACCCCGGATCGAACGGGTGCCCACAAATCAATCTGCACCTTTAATCATATTGTCAGTGGTGCGCACCAGCGCTATCAGGTCTTCCCTACCCTGTTGTGAACTTGAATTTATGGTCGACTTTTCATGCTGCTCTCGGTTGGAAGCAAAAAGATGGGGACTCCGAGACGTATGACCCGACCCCGGGTCGAACCGGAGCCTACAACTTGCAGATTGAACAAGGGAATTGTGAGTGGGTGCGCCCGCACTATCGGGTCTTATTCTCTGTGTTTCGAGCTCGCATTTGTGCAGGACTTTTCAGTCGGGCAGCTTGGAAGACAAAAAAGTGCCAGAAAACGTGAATGACCCGACCCCGGATCGAACGGGGGCCCACATCCCAGAAAACAATCAGGATACTGTGAGTGCGTGCGCACCAGCGCTATCGGGTCGTATTGTCTGTATTTCGAACTCGGACTTGTACAGGACTGTTGAGCAGGCTCTTGGTTCAACCTGGAAAAAACAAAGAAGCGATTGAGACAGCCAATGGCTGTCTACTCGAACGGGGCCCACAAATCCTTGAACGAACAATCAATTGGGAGTGGGTGCGCACCGGCGTTATCAGGTCTTCCCTGCTCTCTTTCGAGCTCGAATTTGTGCGAGGTTTTCTGGCCATTTGAAAGACAAAAAAAAGGACAAATGATGCAAACAAGGCATGACCCGACCCGGATCGAACGGGGCCCACAGACATGACTTCGCTCGTCTCATTTTGGGTGGGTGCGCACCAGCGCCATCGGGTCTTATTCTCTGTATTTGGGACTCGAGTTCATGCAAGACTTTGAGCAGGCTCATCGTTCCAGCATACTCATGGCTTCAGTGAAGAGTATCCCACGACTCCACCTTCTGAAAAAGGCAATATCCATTGGCTTGGCTCATGTTCTCCTAGTGTTCTCCCATGACGCTATTATCGGGCTGCCAGCCAAGAATATTTTATACCTTCGTTGACGGGAAAATGAATTATATGCTGATCCACACAACCCAGCTCCATATTCCGGAGACCCGGGTCGACCGTCCGGACATCCAGATTCCAGATATCCATATGGATATCAATTATACTGATTGTGGATACTCAGCCCCCGCTTATTCTTAGAGGGAAAGGAAGGTCTCATAGATCTCATCGGGTCGGACAGCATTTCTTGTCGGATCTCGGCTCCGCAAGGCGGCACTCGCATCTCTTGGCCTAGGCCAAGAGCATCTCACGACTCCACCTTCTAGGAGCCTTAGGTCCATCCACAGTCTTGGCTGGGGACCAAGACTGTTTACGTTTTACGCCTCCGTCCGCTGGAAAGGCAGTTATTCTAATCCATAATATAGTCGAACTCGTGCCCCTGTTTCTTTGCTCCTTCATTCGACCACGTGCATCAACTCTAAAACCACGACGGCGGTTCAGGCCCGTTGGCATTTACGCGGACTACTCATTTTGCCGCGATCGTGGGTCCGTGTAGAACAAATATTTTAAGCCCTAATACAACCCGGGAAACACGCCATCTATCATACATTACGCCTGAGGTCTCCTCTCAGCACAGTCCAACCCAGATAAATAACAAGGAAAATAAAATAAGGTGTATCATAGCCACGGCGCCCTGTACTTTGGATCGCTGCCTCTAGCAGTACAGGGTCGACCTGGGGACCCGTACTTGTCTGGACGGTGAGGTTCGTAGATTGATACTCGCGGGCATAAGCTCCGTGCAGTTCGTCAGCGTCGTCACGTCCTGCCCCAGGAGGCTCATTTTTTGGTGCGCGGTACGGTAGTCCTCGTCCCTGGAGTGCTGTGAGCCATGTTTGTTTTGAGCGAAGAGGAGAACAAACCAGTCCTCTTGGTTGTTGATGAAACGCAGGAACTCGCGTTCAGTGCTGGTGTTGTGCGCGAAGTTAACGTCGCTGTTCAGCTTGAGAACGCCTGAAGGAAGACAGAATGAGTAAATAATGGAATGCATTCGCGGGACCGAGCATACCCTGAGGGGTGGTACGCCGTGCTGTTTCCGCGTCTGACATCGAAGAAGGGATCAGGCAAACATCCCTGATGGCTAGGGAGCACCCACAAAAGCGGACGTCCCAGATATCAACTGTGGTGTCGAACGTCGAATTCGCGAACGGTGGGATCGACAAAACGCTGTTCCCGCTGGTGTGTGCGCCGACTAGGCCATGAGGTCGCGGACTGTGAAGTTCATGTCGGCGAAGCGGGCGATGAGCTTCGGGACCGGGTCATCCGGGCTCGGGAGCAGCCCCATGGGTGCAACGTTCCCGGGAATGGTCGGCCGATGAATGCATTCAGTCTAGGGCCGCCGGGGCATGCGAGCTACAAAAAGAAAGTCAGAAACCGAAGGGAGTGTCGGGAAACGTCACGTACTACGCCAAGAACGCCTGCGAGCTAGGATAATAGTGCGACCTTAAGCTGGGAGCTCGGAAATTAGAGATTAGCACTTACATGGAGGAGTCACCAGGAGAAACACCGAATTGTGCGGGGAGGGGAGACAGGATGCTGACGATGCTCTGCAGTCCATTGTTCTCCGTGCGCGTCACCTCAGTAAGGTCCCATATCATTGAACCGTCCGCCGCGCCGTTCGGGAGCCCGGCCTCTTTCAGCGCGTTCGAAATGTTCCTGGATGACATATGTAAACTGATAGAACTTCATGTAGGTCTGTTGAACATACCGGCATCGTGGAAGGCGATGCGCACTGATGCGCGTGCAGCGTCACCGCATCGACCTATGATACAGTGCGTGAGCGCTCCCGTGACATTGAACTAGTTCGAAACCCGCGCGAACCGTGGAAGATCCCGCCCAGGATGGCGTCGCGAATCCCGTACCACGGCACACAGATCGGGTTGGTTGCGTTGGACACGTCGGGGATACCGTTGCCGTCTCCCAGATCGGGGACGTTGCCGTCCGCGTCCGGGTCGTCGTTTGTCGGTGCCCCCGCCGTCACCGGGGTCAACGACGGCGGTGGCCCGCGGATCATGAGGGCTAGCGAAGGAGAAACGACATCAGGAACACGGCCAGAATGAAAACGGAAAAATGGCGCATGTTGAGATGAAGCAAAAGAGGTTTTTCTCGGGCTAGGGATCTAGAATCCGCTGAGGCTTATATACCTGTTATCAACGGCAGAACCAGGGTTCAGGAACCGAGATAGCCCTATACAGTATGTTCCGAATACCAGACACATTTTGGACGCAATGTAAATGTTCGCATCCGAGACCCGCACCCAGTAGTTTCGCTGCGTTTACTACCAGGCATCTCTCGCGTGGCCGACATGGCAGGGACAAGCGAGATGAGAACCACAGGTAGACCTGATCGCCTTCCTAGATGTTGCCTGATTTGATCCAAAATGGGGTCTATTTGCGACATACCCCCTGCCATGTTCAATCTGCTTGCCGCTCTTGAAAGTGTGGGCTTATAGGCAGGGCACAGCGGATGTTCGTTTTTGCGACCGGATGCGTATGTCGAGGGTGCCAACTTGGATCAGCGCACGACAGAGATGACAGCGGCTCCAGCAAGTTGCATGTGCCTGCTGACATATCCGCGATCCCACTGGATATCATCGCAGACCGACAGATATTTTGAGTTCGTGTGCCAGGAATACCTGTTCACAAATGGCTTATATTTGGTTGAGGTTTACCAGCGGCTCCGTCGTCTCGTCCAGGGCATCGTGTGACGAATTGTGATGGGGTAGTTCCGAGGTCCCCGTTTGGAAGCAGCAAGGCTTATCAGAGAGACAAAATAATGGACAGAATCAGATGATGAGAAAGGCACGCATCAAGGAACCGGTTGTCAACATAAAATCGGTGCGCGTTTATTGGATGAACGCTCTCGGAACGTGGATGGTATATGGCTGAGAGTATCTTCATGATGCCTGTGGGATCGACGGAATTAATAGTCTGAAAGCTATTTATTCATCATCTACCCAGATAACTCACCAAATAAGCCCACGGGAGCACAACAAAGTTCGTCTCCCCGGGAAGATGAACGCGGCTCCGTGAGATGTATCTAACAAGAAGCAGCGGACCGTATGGTCGTGGGTCAGCGTGGGTCCCCATTTGGACACGGCAAGGCTTAACTTTTAAGCAAAGGATCACGCCGAGATCGTAGACGATGTAATATATAAGGATCGCACCGTTAACCGGGGTTTTTCCTGGTAATCAGTGTGGTTTTATTGGGTAAATGGTGGAGGGCATTTTCGAGAAAGGCCACATTCCACGTGGAGGATGCGTCCAAGCCATCTGAACAGATAAGGTGGAATCCAGAACATAATTATCTGAAAAGGGGATGTATTCAGCATCTGCTGAGAAAGCAGGTACGAGAGGGACTCCAGTAAGCTCGTTGGAGGGAGAATTGCGCTAAGAATGCTGTATCTAAAAATATTATTACGATTCCAAACATAGAATTCAATGAAGGACGCACAATCGTTCTGCTGCCGACTGATACTTCGAGGAGCGCACCGCCATACGACCGCGAAATGCGTACGATGGATGTCTTCGACTTGAACGGAGCATGGCCCAGCCCGCGGGTGCTCAAGGAAGCGCATGGTTCGAGAAATGCGGTGTATCCCGCACAAGGGTGCGGGCCACAAGATATTGAAGTTGAAGATACATCCTGCCACGATCACACGCAGGACAATGAGAATGGACGGTTCCGCAGGAATAATTCAATTGGGCCCTGAATATCTTGGTGGAAGGGAAGCAGATCATGTT